AAGAAAAAAATAATTTAAATCTTGGCTAGATAAATATACCACATGTAGCTTTGTAGTATTATGTTTTGGCGATTTTGCAACTTCCTTTAATTACTAGCTATTTTTTTCCTATAGGTAGATAGTGATGAATTTAATAGGTCCTTCATCAAGTCAAATGAGGAAAATAAGACCATAGAAGTTAAAGATTTGAAAATATTCACAAGGTATTCTGTGGTGATCACAGCATTCACTGGAAACATAAGTGCTGCATATGTAGAAGGAAAGTCAAGTGCTGAAGTGATTGTTACTACTTTAGAATCAGGTAAGGCATATTTTCCATCAGTGTTAAAAATTGACTGAGATTTAAGTGTCTTTCTTAGAATTTCTCACACCACCCCCTAAAAAGGGTATGCATTACAAGAAATTTTTCAAGTATATAAAATATAAAATTCAGTGATTCATCATAGCTGACAAAAGTGAAGTTTTCTATTTACATTTTTTAGGCAAAGTGGAATTATGTAGAATAATCAATTCTTGGAAATAGAGAAACAAATTAGTTCATAATAATGTCCTAATTGTATTTTTTGTATTTATTTAAGCACTAACTATTTCAGAAATTTGAGCTACCTTGCCTCAGAGATGATTTTTCAAATGGTCTATGGTCAATAATGCTTCATGTAAAACCCCATTTTAATTATTTCTGTCCATGGTTTAAAAGGCACACTAAAGTAATAATACTCTATCATTATATAATCTGGAATTCAAAATTAGAATCCAGGTCATGCTTACCATATCTGTTTTCCTCACCTAATCAAATGACATGTTTTATTATATAACCTATTTAATAAATGTCAGAACCCATACAGATTTCCTCAGGTTCTTACAAACAGGGTCTGAATGAATTAAGTTTGTAACCAATAGGAATTAAGTGTGGAAAGTCAGCTTCCCAAACTTGCTTGCCCTATCCTCCTTCAGACTCCTGATGTTCTTTGCCACCAGATATATCTTTGGAAAGAGCACATGAAGGGATGTGTTGCTATAGTTTATTTGTTGCTATCTGTAAGGTAAGTATAGGAGGTAAAACATGTTTTTAGCTAGTCTTTTCATTATGTTATATACTCTATAAAGATAACATCTTATCCTCAGCACCCTAAAATTTCATTTGTTTCCATTTTGCTGCTACATATATCCCAGATATTTATTTTCTTATACTTTTTGCATTTCTCTCACATCCTACCTGTTAGGAAAGATGCTGCTGAATTTATTCACACTCATACCATAAAGCACTGGTTGTCAAATCTTAATGTGCTACCACCTCTCACAAAGATATCATGGTTAAATAAATTATTACTAAATCTCTAAGAGTAGAATTTTAGAGGTAAAACTAAATATATTTGGAGAATAGGAAATTCTTTCCAGCATTCAGAGAGTTATTTCACTTATCCAAACTTAAACCTTATCTGATTTTTAGAGAAAGTTCTTATTAAAAGAAAATATATTTTTTATATCATAGAAATGTATAACAGCAAATGTGAAAAATGTGTTGAGCCAATTTAACTTTCACTTTAGCTATGAATTTTTCCAGTTCATATGTGATATTTGGCACTATAACATGTTTATCTGTTTCTCTTTTTTCTTTTTTTTAAGATTTTATTTATTTATTTGACAGAGAGAGACACAGCGAGAGAGGGAACACAAGCAGGGGGTGAGGGAGAGGCAGAAGCAGGCCTCCCACCGAGCAGGGAGCCGAAGCAGGGCTCAATCCCAGGATACTGGGATCGTGACCTGAGCTGAAGGCAGATGCTTAACCGCTGAGCCACCCAGGCGCCCCTCCTTTTTTCTCACTCTTATTTATTTACTTTTTTGTTTGCTTGCAAGATAATAAATAATAGATAAAGATACTAAAGCTTGAGCATCTGAACCTTTGACAGCCAAATATTAGCAGCCTTCTTCATGGAAATTCCTTCACTTAGTATGGAAGATATATCCATTTCAGTTTGATCAAAATAGATATATTCATGTAATCAGTCATTTATATAAAGAACACTATGTAGTACAGTAAGAACTAGTTCCTATATTCATAAATTAATTTTATCCTCACGTGTATCATTTTTTATGATAATTTACTGATACTTAACTTTTGTATATGAGGCTAATTTTTATTTATCAAAAATAAAATGGAATATCTAGAATATATAAAGAACTCTCAAAACTCAACACTTAAAAAAAATTCAATTAGGAATTGGCAAAAGACATGACTAGACATTTCATCACAGAGAAGATACAATGGGCAAATAAACTCATGATAAGATAGATTTTCAGCATCATTAGCTATTAAGGAAATGCAAATTAGAACCACAATGAGATCTCACTATGCATCTACTAGGACAGATAAAATAATAATTATAAAATAGTGATGATGCCAAATGCTGACAAAGATACAGAGACTGGATCTTTCATACATTGTTAGTGGGAATGCAAAAGGGTATAGCCACACTGAAAAATAGTTTGGCATGATGTAATGTATGGTGATTAACATAACAATAAAAAAACTAAACATGCACTTAGAGCACATTACCTAGCAATCATATTCTTGGGCAATTATCACAGAGAATTAAAAATTTATGTTCACACAAACAGCTGTAAATGAATGTTAATAGAAAGTTTATTAGTAATAACAAAAAAACTGGAAACAACCCAAATGTTTTTCTATGATTAAACAAACTTAGGTGTACCCACAAAATGGAACACCACTCAGTAATAAAAAAAGAATGAACCATTGATACATACAACAACCCTGATTGAACTTAAGCATTATGCTATTGTTTTTCTTAAAGTGACAGAACTATGAAGGACAATGGTTAGTGTTGTGGGGATGCATAGAGTGCAAATACAAGAGTATAGCCAGGGAAGTTTCTTTATGGAAATGGAATAGTTTTATACTTATTTCTGGTGATGATTGCAGGAATCTTTACATGGAATAAAATTGCATAGAACTGCACACACATTTATGAAAGCATGAAAAAATGGTGAAATCTGAATAAGATCTGTAATCTAACAGTATTGTACTAAGGTCAATATCCAGGTTTGATATTAAACTACAGTTAGGTAAGTTGTCACCACTGGTAAAACCTGGGGGAATGTTCTAGGGGACTGTATGTACCACTTCTGCAAATTCCTGTGTGTCTTTATTATCTTTAAATAAGCAATACAAAAAGTCGTGGAAATGCATTCTATATAAAAGCAAATCCATGTAGAAGTCAAAATAAATAAATAACCAAACTAACTGGATCACCATTATGATTTCTGTGACCTACATGTATCAGCCATTTTGCTTGTTTCCATAACATATATGGTTTAAATAATTTGTGTAACACATTTTATAAACAGAAATTTGACACAAATAAATTTTATATGGAGATTTTTAAGAAGAGGAACACAAATTTTAACAAATTAATTGTTTAATATTTCATTTTAGTCCCCAAGGATCCACCTAACAATATGACATTTCAGAAGATACCAGACGAAGTTACAAAATTTCAGTTAACATTTCTTCCTCCTTCTCAACCCAATGGAAATATCCAAGTATACCAAGCTTTAGTTTACCGAGAAGATGATCCTACTGCTGTCCAGATTCACAACCTCAGTATTATCCAGCAAACTGACACATCCGTCATTGCGATGTTAGAAGGACTAAAAGGTGGACATACGTATAATATCAGTGTAAGCATTCATAGTGTTTAATTATTCACCTATTTTACAAAGTCAGTTTACAAACTCAGCATTCAAAAATACTGCAGCTTAGGTGCACGCTAGATTTCTCATATCTTTTTGTGGGATTGTGTGAGACATGCCAACAGAAAATAACATTTAGAGAAATGAAATTGCTTATTTCCTATTATAATACAGCAAGCACTATGAAAATATGTAGGTAACAAAAAAGTTTTCACAACAATAGTAGAAATCCATAAATAAAATAAAGGGGAAAGAAAATGCATGTTAAAAGCAAGAGAGTAGTGTTATGTAAAGAGAGAATTCTACCTAAAGGGAAGCTGTCTATGTGTGATTATAAATGGAAAATGGAAAAGCAAATTTCAAAGGCAAAGGGCAGAAGTAACTATTTACATGTTTGAAATTCACATGCCTTTCATGTAATAATTACTAAAGCTAAATATTTTACATCCTAATTCTAAATTATCCATGTATGTTTATATACATACAGACATACACACAATTTATTTCAAAAATGCTTTTTTGTAATATGTCTTAAAATTTTCAAATAGAATTATATGGGTCAGAATATCATCTTTTAAGCAACATAGAGTTCACCCCAACTTCAGGTAGCTTAGTAATTAATCTTCCTACCAGTTCTTTATGATTATTGTGTAATGATCAGAACACTGTTATTAATAATTTGTATTCATATGTACATATGTTTTTCTCTATATTATATCTATACAACTACATGTCTTCATTTCTTCCTTCACTCACTATATATCTTATTTTATATATATATATCTGTCCTGCTAAGATTCTTGTTGCACATCCCATTAAATGGACCACCGTTGTGGAAGGTCTATTAGAATAGGGAGGGTGGTTATGAGGATGAACTAATCTGAGTTCAAATCCTGACTCTGCGATTTGTTTCTGGGCAGTTGCCTCAAATCTGTACCTCAGTTTTTTTATCTAAAAAGACAGTAAATTCTGCTCCTGAAACCAATATTACACTGTATGTTAACCAACTGGAATTTAAATAAAAACTTGAAACAAAAAAAAGGAAAAACAGGAATAATGACTTCTTTATAGGATTTTTGTAAGGATTAAAGAATTATAGTTATGGGAAGTTGTGAGTGCTCCATCAGTTTTGCCTTTTGGAACAAGAGGAAAAAATAGGAAACAAAGTAGAACTAATTCATAATTTAAAGAACAGTAAAAAAAATTCTCTAACTTACTGTTGAGAAAGTGCAATTTGTAGCTCCTCAACACCTGGGAGTTTATTAGAAATATATAATTTTCACATCCATCCCAACCTACCGAATCAAAACCTGCATATCTTCATTCAACAGGTTTACAAGTGACTTCTTTGTACAACACAATTTGAGTAGCTCACCTAACTCTTCATTTATTATCTCACTTAAATGTTAGGCTGTACCACAAAGAAGTAAAAAAAACGAAGCACACCATAATTTCACTTTCCATTTTTAATACTTTTTTAAAAGATTTTATTTATTCATTTGAAAGAGAAAGAGAGTGAGCTCTAGTGGGAGGGGTGGGGGGGGGCAGAGGGAAAGGGAGAAGCAGGCTCCCCACTGATCAGGGAGCCCACACAGGGCTCAATCCCAGGACCCTGGGATCATGACCTGAGCCTGAGCTGAAGGCAGATGCTTAACCAACTGAGCCACCCAGCCTTCCCAATACTTCTTTTCTTAAATTTACAAACTCCAATAAATATTTCCTTTAGATATTTTTTAACCACATTTTTTAGGCTTAGTTTATTTACCATTCCCACTGCATCATATATATTATTATAATTTTAATTCAGTAAAAACATTCCCAAAGTATCTATAGTGTGAAGTATAGAAAGCAAATTAATTAGTTCCAATAAACATATTCTGAATTGTGTTTATGAATGAAACTGGGCAAGAATATAGTCTTTGTTTTATAGAGCAAAATAAAATAAATAAAAGAAGAGTCTCTATCTACAGTTTCTTAAACATAAAATGAATTGAAAGGATTCACATTTGTGTGAATCACCCTCTGTCTATACAAACAGAAATGTTTTATGTGTATATGCTGCATTACACAGGTTTTACCATCAGATACTTTGGGGCAGGGGTGAAGAAGGGCATAAAGGCCAACTTTCAGAGGGATGATTTAATACAGGAAAACAAGGAGGTTGAAGGAATAGGATTTCATTTCAGAGAAGGGAAAAAAAGAGGGTCTTGAATATGGATTTAAAGAAAGCCAGAGTTACCTAGCTACAGAGGGAAGGAGCAGATGTGAGAGTAGATGAAGGAGTGTAGACATAGTGGCTTTTCTGTGTCTGCTCCTCCTACGGTTCAAATTGAAGCCACATCCTTTCCTGGTCACTATGATAGGGCTGTCTAAGTCACTCAGCCTTTGTTCTCAGGACTTTGTACTTAAAATCAGTTTTAAGAACTACTTTACTATTAATGTTCTTCCTACACATACTGTATTCATTTGAGTAAGTGCAAGAAAAATGTGATAAATAGGCTATATGCAGTTATTTTTAAAAGTGGCATCATTTTATTTTATTTTACTTAAAGATTTTATTTATTTGACGCAAGAGAGCGACAGCAAGGGAGGGAACACAAGCAGGGGGAGCGGGAGAGGGAGAAGCAGGCTTCCTGCGTAGCAGGGAGCCCGATGCGGGGCTCGATCCCAGGATCCTGGGATCATGACCTGAGCCGAAGGCAGACGCTTAACGACTGAGCCACCCAGGTGCCCCAGTGTAGAATCATTTTAAAATTACATATGACCATAATAAAAATAGTAACAAGATGTTTCTCTTTTTCTTTTAGATTTATGCAATTAATAGTGCTGGTGCAGGGCCAAAGGTTCAGATGAGAATAACCATGGACATTAAAGGTACATACATGAGCTGCCTTCCTGTGAAATACTGTTGTCTTAATCAAAGAGTAATTATAATTGAATTCTATTATCAGAGTTAAGAATGTAGTCAAGCTTTTAAATGATGCATATGCAATAATAAGCATACATTAAGTAATAAAGCCTGCTTATTAAAGCTATACTTAAAATGTCTAAATGATAATGCAAATTACCATCTTAAAGAGAATGCCCACCTGCTATTTATCTTATATTTCTTTCCCTCTAAATTTAAAGTTTTCTGAGACAAATTTTATAGTCTGTTATTATGTTTTGTAATTTTATTGAAAATTCATTGTTAAATTACCCATGGCTAGAGTTGGACTAGTTTTAATTAAATTCCTTGACTGATCTTTTATCTCAAAAGTAAAATTCTTTTTAGCTAATCAGATAGTGTTTACTGAACTACCATATATTCAACTTTATGATTCTGACTGTAAAATAGATCTATCAATTCATTATTCTGACAGGTATTGTTTATAGAAAATATAATTAAAATTGAAGACTGCCTCACTCACACAAAACAATCCATGAAAACCAAAAAAGATTGTTAAGAATTTAGGGCTAGCCAGTTATTCGGGATACTTTCTCTTCCTGACTGAAAACATATATCCAATTGTGCTATCTCTCTAAAAATCTATAATAAAACCTGCAGAGAGATTAAAAAACTGAAGCGTTTGGACCTTTAGTAGAACACTTCTCTTTCTGAAGCAAAAAGTAACTTTTCTTAGTCTTTGGTAAGCACAGCAGAGCAGAGTGATCAAATGTGCTAGCTCTAGACTGAGTCTAGGGTCAAACTGCTGAGATTGAATCCTGGATTGGCCATTTGATATCTGCTTGACGTTAGGCAAGTGTCTTAACCTCTATAAGCTTGTAAAATGCAGATAATGCTAGTTCCTACCTCCCAGATTGTTGTGAAGATTAAAAGTGATAATCTTTGAAAAATGCTTAGGACAGTGCCTGGAAACTAGTATTATTAAGAATAAGAAATATTCACTGTAAGATGAAGCTGATAAGTTTTATCATTTCATCAATGGTAGTTTATGTAATTGTAATATTATTTAAAAGTATTAAGAGTTGCTTTCAGTTCCAAACTACTTGGAATGTGCAAATGCATAAGCTCTTCAGAAACATCAGCTGTTTTACCAAATGACTTCTTCAAAAAGAGCTTATGTCATACCATCTTAATTTCTTTGTTATTCAGTGGCAGACAGGTAAGTATGCAGGTAACAATAGATGCATTATATTAATTCTTTAGCAAAACTTGCTATGTCTATTGCTTTGATCAACCCCAGGTAGAGATGATTAGTTCTGACTTTCCACTCCTTAGATAGGACAGATAGACTCATAATCAGTTGTCTAGAAAAATATATGTGAGTACTGGTGGTAGTGGGGAGGTGCCAGAGAAATATTTTTCTCCAGTAATATGCATGATTGTTTTTGGTGACATGGAGTGACATTGAATTGATAGTAGTCTCATTAAATTTGCATTTGACACATAATATACAGTTGGGTAATCATATCCAATGCCAGATTCCTCTAACTGGAAACCTTTTCTTGGGGACTCCCCAGTGGCCTGCCTGAAAGTTTCTCAGAACTCCCTGAAATCTGAGGATCTTCTTGCTGAATCCTTCCTTTCTTCTCTCACGCAGGTATCAGACCTGTGATCTGTGCTCTAAAGGCTCTTGCCACCTACTCCTGTTCCCTGTTCCTTGACTCTTCATGGATATTTCCTCCAATAAACTTCCTACGCATCTAATATTATTATAGCCTTTACATCTCAGAGGAGTGAGCTAAAGGATCAAGCCAAAAAGATTTGATTCAAATCTTGATATTTCCCTTTTACAGCTATGTGACATAAGGCCATTTCCTCATCTACAAAATGGAAATGGTATTGCCAATTTTATGGCATTATTGAGAAGCTTTTTAAAAAATTTAATAAATATGGAAATTGAAGTTTGATTAAGCAACTTGCTGTGTTTCAAACAGCTGGTATATGCATATAGCAATGAGATGAAATGAAACAAGCAGAACTCCTACAGATAATGATTTTGGAGATATTTGTATGCATTGGCAGTAAAATGTGAATTATCGTGGCACTTTCAGAAATTATTCTGGTAATATCTATTAAAGTTAAAAATATTTATATCTTTTGTTCCAGAAATTCTCTTCTTGGAAATCGATTCCATAGAAATAAGAGGATTAGTACATAAGGCTAAATATATAGGCTGGTTATTGCGGCAAATGTTCAAAACCAGAAGGAAAAGTGAATTCCCATTACTAACTGAATGACTGAATAAATATGATGTTGTCACACCATGATATATACAACATAGTCACTAAGAAGAATGAGTTAGCCCCATACTTGGTGACTTGGAAAGACTTATATAAGTCATTTAAGTGAAAAAAGCAAAATGTGGAGTGATTATAATACATAATATAGCCCCATTAAAAAATCAAACAGTGAGAATAATCCATTATGTATGACTTTATGTATTTTATATGATTGTGTGAACATGGAGAAAAATATGGGAGTATATCATCCAAATGTTTGGCATGGATAAACTGTGGGAGGGATGCTATTATGACTAGAATAGAAATTGATGAATCAGCCAAAGGAAGTAAAAGAAAAAACCCACTAAAATATTAGTATGATTTAATACACTTACAAAAATTATATGGTGTGAGAGCATATATAATTTGAATTTTTTTAATATGTGAAGAGGAGTCAGACACCTAAAAACCACACCTGAGCCCCATTATCTCAAGCCAGTATGAAATACATAATTAAAGCATCAAGAGATAATAATTGCTAACTATCTGTTGTAGTCAAACAAAACTGTTTCATTTGTTATTTGTTTGTCATCATTTTATCTATAAATCACCTGCATGAAATGAGAATTTAAAATTTTTTTCTTCTCTTCAGAAACAAAAAATCAATTGCAGTGATATTTCTTCTTTGTTTAAAGCTCCAGCACGACCAAAAACCAAACCAACCCCTATTTATGATGCCACAGGAAAACTGCTTGTGACTTCAACAACAATTACAATCAGAATGCCAATATGTTACTACAATGATGATCATGGACCAATCAAAAATGTACAAGTGCTTGTAACAGAAGCAGGGGGTATCATCAACTGTCAACTTACCTTGTTAAATTGTAGAGTATGAATTGTTGAATGCTAAAGAAGTTTCAGTTCAAAATTAGTAATATAAGGTTGACTACCCATTATCACACAACTGTTGAGCTTAATACAGTGTTAATATTATCATTAATTATACTAATCATTAATTTATACCTAAAATACTTGACCAAAATAAGACAAGGCATAGTTAAAATATGTGATTTATTTATTCATTCCGTATACTGGTTGGATTGCTAGATTTTGACAAAATAGAGTCTTGATAGCTTCTTTGGAGGTATGAACAGGAGAGTTATCCTTGACCAAGAGATGTTCTGTCTCTGAGAAGTCATCGTCCACAATAAAGCCTAAAGAATCATGTGTGATGGGGAAAGATAGGGTTCCCTGTTTATCCAGGTAGATCAGCTGAATCATCCCTGGTGGTTCACAGAGTGACAGATGTTGCATCCAGATTTTCCTCATGCAATTATACAAATGCTCTTCAGAAATGTGAAAATACCTTCATATATTACTTGTAATTTTATCCTTTTTTTCTGAAAATAGCTCAGCATGATGGAAATGTAACAAAGTGGTATGATGCATATTTTAATAAACCAAGGCCGTATTTTACAAACGAAGGCTTTCCTAATCCCCCGTGTACGGAAGGAAAGGCAAAGTTCAGTGGCAATGAAGAAATCTACATCATTGGTGCTGATAATGCATGCATGATTCCTGGCAGTGAAGACAGAATTTGCAATGGACCTCTGAAACCAAAAAAGCAATACTTGTAAGTATAGTTGATGTTTACTAATGCATCATGGTAGCAAGCAAGGCGATATCTTTTATTCATCCATCTACCCATCCTTTCATCTTTCCAGTAAGCACTAGGCATCCATAATGTATCATGACCTGATACATGGTAAAGATCAACAAGACATTGTCCTTACATTCCCTAAAAGTACAGTTCTATAGGGAAAGTAGGCAAACTTAAAAGTAATTATGATTTGATATAAGTGACATAAGGACAATATGAAAAACATGTAATTGGAGAACATGGGTAGGAGAATTGAATTCTTTCTGTAAAGGATAATGTGACTAACATAATATTTTGTGCTTTTCACTCATTATTTTGCAACACATGCTAATTTATGGGTTTTTAGAAACACTATCCTAGTCTTTTAGTTGATGACAGCTTCAGTTTACCAGAGTTATAGCAATAATTTTCTCCTCTTTGTATTATTAAACCTCTCAATTAGTGACTGAAATATTTATAATTCACTTTAATATTTGTCGTTTTGTAGATCATGATAATCTAATGTATTAAATACCACTGCTGATATTCTGGCTTTATTAAATGCTTTGCTAAATTAATCACATGTCTCCTGTTAAATTGATTGTGTTACTTTTGTCATAAGACTATAATTTTTTAATCTTAAATTATTTAATTTCCAAAATATAATTTTTACTACCAAATTTGGAAAATACAGCTAATTTCATGTTTGCCTGCTAGTTAAAGCATTATTAAATTCTTCATAAACATTCTAAGCTAACATTAGAAAAATAAAGAAGTCAGGAATTTGAAAAAAACAGAATGCTCTATCATCTATTAATAAGTACAGTTACTTTGGTTACTAAGCTATTGCCTAAAATTTAGTCATCATAATAGGCAGTTATGAAAATGTTATACCACAAAATTTAATATTTATTCAAATATTATTTATTTTGCATATTTTTCCAAAACAGACTCTTCATATAATCAATAAAGTCATAAGAATTTGAGAAGAGTAGAGATTAAATTATAAACTGAAACTTATTAATGTAAGTTGGTTTTGTACTTTAAAATGCTTAGATGTCTATAATTTTTAAATAAGGTAAATTTCAGTTATCTCTGAAGATGTTAAAATCACCCATTCTGTAACGATTTTCTGTTTCTTATGTCATAAAAACATAGAAAGTGAAAATACTCTGTGCACACACAGAATTAAGAAGCATTTTGTTAACATGTGAATAAAATAAGTTCTGTATGACCATTCTAAATCTAGGTCATTGGTATTTTCAAAAGTAGTTGAGGTATAACAGTTATTAAACTTTATATTTGTAAAGTATGTTTGTGTAACACACTTTCACACAGACATGAAATAATTTCATCCAAATAAATCTATGAGGGATGTAATCTACTTCATCTCTTTAACATGCTGACTACTCATGAGTCTGGCCAAACTTTTAATTACTCTCTTATGTGCAGGATAATTATTCATCTCACATAAAGATAAAACATATTGTTCTGATGGCAATTGATTTCCAAGTTTACATCTTATAAATACATTTTCTCTTGAATAAAAATGTGTATTTTCATTGCTATTTGTTAAATTATTCATAGAAAAAAGTCATACACCATGCAAATTTTTGGTTTTTATTTTTTTATTTCATAGATTTAAATTTAGAGCCACAAATATTATGGGACAATTTACTGATTCTGATTATTCTGATCCTGTTAAGACTTTAGGTAAGATATATTCTGCAATTTGATTTCATTGATAATCTCAACATGCTAATCATAGTTGTAACATTCATTAGTAAATATATTAATCCGTGACTGAATGTTCTCAAGTATAAATTCATTTCAGGGTTAATTAGCCTGACAAAGGAAAAAATAGTATTTGTGATATTCTTTTAAGTGATGGATGTTCCATCTATTCAAATCTGGACATAGATCTCAATATGGTATTAGTTCTATGTTGATGTGTACCAACATTATACTAAGCAAATATTTACTTGGATGTTTAATATATAATCTTATATGTAAAACATTTTTACCTAATATAAAAGAAAAAGGTTTATGGAAATTTTCCTGAAATAATCTTAAAAACTAGACACTTACCAACTTTTTAAAATTTTATTTTCTTATCAAGTCTTAAGTGAGTTTTTTCAATTATACCCACCCAATCAGGCCTGAATAAACCATAAATACAATTTAGTCCAAAGCAAGTGTTTTCCTCCACCTCCTCCTCCTCCATCTTTACCATCATCATCTTCTAGACTCTTTGTATATAGTAACTGATGGACTCTTCACAACTGTCTTTTAATTGATACCAGTAGTTCTCAACAAGAGTGATTTTACTCTCCAGGGAATATGTAGCAATGTCTGTAGCCATATTTGGTTGTCACAATTATGGGGCCAAGCTACTGGCATCTAGTGGGCAGAGACCAGGGAGGTTGCTGAACATCCTATGTAGCATAGGACAATCTTTTCAGCAAAGAATTATTTAGTGCATAATGCCAATAGTGCTGAGATGGAGAGAAGCTGTTAGGTGCTGTTAGCTCCATTTTATAGATGAGGAAACCAAAGCCCAGATTAAGTAGTTAAGTGGCTCAACCAGTATTCTAGCGCAGATTCCATAACCATTCCAGTACAAATACAGGATTTAGACCTGGATTGAAAACTTGACTCTGCCACTTGAGAAAATAATTTCTATAGACCTCAGTTTCCTATTTAGAAAATGGTGGTGAGAGTGTCCACCTTGAAGATTTAAATAAAATAGCATATGTAAAGATACTAATATTTTATAGTTAGTAAAATTTTAAGTACTTAATCACTTCTTTTTGGATAGGTTATAATCAAAGATCTTAGAAACATACTTTTTTAGGAGAAATGATTTCCCTAGGATTTCTCTAAGTACATTGCAGCTTCCAATTTTCTCTGTATCAAGCTCTGAGAATGTGGACCTTTGTGTGCCGTTCAGATCCACAGTATAATGTGAGCCGCAACAGGTTTCAGCGAGAGTTGTGGCTGGAAGAATATAGATTTTTCCATTATTCTCAGTTAGAAATTCTCCTCTGGTTGTGGAAGATTAATTGTCTAACGAGTCAGTTTCTACAACCTCTACTTAGTTAAGGAAATTTTCAATCTTGAAGAAATAAAGGGGCTCATGGTTGCTACATAGATATTTATAGAGGAATAACATGAATTTCTTTGGCTCTGTTGTCTTATTCCACAACACCAATGGTTTAATTAATTAATTTTACCCAGTAATTCAATCATTTTACAATTGGCTGACTAGACTTGTGGTTTTGAAATGGTGTGGAGTATTTCGTCGTTTGATAGGTGAGTTGATCACACCCTGACACCACCACAGTGAAGTAAATGTCTTGATGGCACCAACATTATTTCATTTAGATTAAGCATTCAGAAACTATTACCACAGCAAAATGGTGATCCTGGTGTGTTTACTGATGTAAGATAAGAGACATAGACAAAGTGGATAGCTCATATATCTAATGGAGATGACATTTTGTAGGAGCAGTGCTAAAGATGTTGCCTTGCTAATTTTCTTGTGTGCTTATGTCTCTCGTAGATTGCTGGTTTCATGCAGATTATTGATGTGAGAGTACATTATGTCAGTTCTCTGAGAGATGAAGTTACAACATCCAGGGTAATAGGAATGAAAAAAGGGGAAAGACAAGCATCAGAAACCATAATGTATAGGGATGTGATTCCTCACATTCTGCCAAATGTGTTCCCTCTGGCTGAGGGTGGGCCTCAAGTAGAACTTTGGCTGCAGGTGGTCTCAAGGTGCTCCTCAGCAATGTTCTTCATTTTCTTCCTTACTCTCACAGCCAATTCAGTGGAATAAAATAATTAATTCTAGAAAGTAGCAGAAATACACCATCAGTTCTCTGGTTCCTTCTTTGAAATCATGACTGTCCCCACCCCAGTCATCCAGGTACTAATGTTTGTGTGCCCTGGTAACAGCAGGAGTCTAAAGGGGATGCAAAATGTGGAACAAAGCACAGAGCATAGGATCTGGTCAAAATTAAGCACTGGTGAAACGTAGATTCAACATATAACGTAGAAAGCCATTGGTTTGGTAAGGGGCAGTTACAAGTAGTTACAAGGAAGGGTCCCGTACATCATATATTATTTGTAGACCAGGGACATAAGGGCAGCCTTTCAAGCTCCTCTTTAGATTTTCTTCCGTGGACTCTCTTCTGATAAATAATGGCACTATAGTCTTATTCTGGATTGACCACATGGAGTTCTGCTATCAAGGTAGTCATTTATAGTTAGTAAAACCATGACAGGCAGGAGTGGAGAAAATAATTAGAAGTGCCACCCTGAGTTGTGATGAAATGAGATGTGCAGCTTTGGAGTATGGAATGGACCATTGGAGCAGAATTCCTCAATGTCTGGAAAAGTAGCCCAGTCATCTAGCTGGTTAATGGATTTACTACCATCAATTTCTGTCCTCACATTTTACCTGGAGATTTGGATCTTATGGTTCTGTGGATATCAGATTCAGTTTGATGGGTCAGGCACCAAAGAGTACACTGCAGAAATGGCCCTGGTCCATGATTTGACATTAATAAAAGACCATGGAGTCATACGAGTTTTGGGTGGGGGGAGAAAAACAAACATTGCCAAGGAAGAAGTAGTAGAATTCAAAAAGGAAAAAAACTTGATTATTTCTACATTAGTCAGCGGCAAGAATGGTCTCATGGCTGTGAGAATGGGAGAAACCATATAGTAAAATGCATTGATGTAATTACCCTGGCATCATCAGAATATTACAGTGGTTGTTTGAGTCCTTGTTTATCTCAAATATGTCATGTATTAGGATAGATGATACCATTTGCAACAGGCTAGAGGCTCCCAACATTCCTCACAAGCCTGCTGAGAACTTATGTGTGTATGTGATCTCAGACTTCAGTGAAAGAAGTGAAGAACCCATCTAGGTCCTCAAACCACCTGTGGATATACATTCCTTCACTGGTATTTAGCATAGCACAGGCAGTGAGCTCCAAGCTAAGTAAAATCTTCAGGATTTAAGAGCCTTTGCAAGGCTGTCTTTTTAAGTTAGTATAGAGTATACATTTCTAAGACAGACCATTTTGATAGTGGTTGGGCCTCTTATGGATACTATTATTTTGAAGTTAAAATTAGGGGCAAAAGAATCACCATAGACTAATCAACTAAAAGGTTTAAGTTTATTGAAAAGGGTTAACAAAAGCACAAGTGAGAAGGGGCCAGGCAGGGCTTTGCTGAATAAGGATGAGTGTGTGGAAGAGGAGTTTGCACTTAGGGAAATCTTCATGACCTGTAGGAATAAACAGGGGAAATGACATATGCCATTATTTTAATCTTAAAGAAATACCTACAACTTATTTGATTTTGTTTTCACTCAGAATGAGCATTAACATTTTTACTAACAAAACTCATGAGAATCCTTCTTAAACTCTTTTTAAAAATCCTCTTTGGGCACATCAGTTTATGGAAACTGCTCGTAGGCAATGTTTTGATTATAAGGTTTAATTATAGAGGATTCCTGTGATTTGAAAATCAGACACTGCTTTCGACACCTTACCGGGCTTCATTAAAGCTGAACAAGATGAAATCTTAAACCCCATGGCAAAGGCACTCTGTGATTGTTTTCTTTTGTCATAACACTTCTCATTTAATTACTGTGCTAACAATGAGAAGTTCCAATATGCTCATTTAGAAACAGAAATCGGGAGTCGCTATGTATTTTTTTTTTTTTTTTGCAGCGAAGGATCACTTGCCCCCAAGACACCAGATGAATGAGGAAAGTTTTATGATGTTAACGAGGCGGTGGTAATGTGGTGCTGAACCTCATAAACTTTGCAGTCAGACAGGCATATTTCAGGCAGTATGGGTATATATTGAATTTATGTGGCCTTGGGTTTGTTACTTTAACAAATTAATTTCTGAAATCTTATTTCCAAAATGAAAATAATAATGCCTACCTCATAAGTTAACTGGAAGATTAAATCAGATGAATGAATGACAAATAAATATGAAATGTTTATTAATAAAGATAATTATTATTTTTTTCCAAAGATTTTATTTATTTGTCAGAGAGAGACACAGCGAGAAAGGTAACACAAGCAGGGGGAGTGGCAGGCAGAGGGAGAAGCAGGCTCCCCGCTGAGCAGGGACCCCCCCCCTCCCCCAATGCAGGACTCGATCGCAGGGTTCTGGGATCATGACCTGAGCCGAAGGCAGATGCTTAACCGACTGAGCCACCCAGGCGTCCCAATAAAGAGAATTATTCATGTGTCAAGGCTTTTATGAATATTTTTATATATAACCCCACATATTCTTCACAACCCTGTTAACATAACCCCCTATTTATAGGTGTCCTCAATGTATTGGTAAGAAATCGGAAGGATGGGTCTTTTAGCAACTTGCCCGAGGTTACAGAGCTAGGACAGGGCAGCAGCGGCTTTTAGATCCAGGCAGCCTGACTCAAGTCAGTGCTGTGCTAGTAACTGCTGTACGCATTGCCTGGAAATCACTAAGTGTCCGAGTCGGTTGCAGTTGCACTGTTCTTGATGAGTTTTCTGCTCCCACAGACTTCCTATCCTTGGGTACCTTTTTCTCTTCCCAACATTTTTAATTACTTCCAGCTGTTTTCTTATCATCATTTCCTCTTAGCTTTTGAGATTAGCATTCAGACATGAGTATGCTTTACTTTTGCACAGAGAGATACAAAAATTCCTTTTTGTTTTTTTTTTTTTAGCAATGAATAAGTGTTTCCTTACACCCTGGAAACCACTATTTATTGTCTACTTTTAATATTTTGCCAAACTGATGCATGAAAATAATATGTCTAGGGTATTTTATTTTATTTTATTTATTTTATTTATTTTTAAGGATTTTATTTATTTATTTATTTGAGAGAGAGAGAATACCAGTAGGGGGAGGACAGGGGGAGGAGAGGGAGAGGCAGGCTCCCTGCTAAGTAAGAAAGCCAATGCACGGCTCCATCCCAGGACCCCAGGACCAGAGCCACAGGCAGATGCTTAACTGACTGAGCCACCCAGGTGCCCCTAGTGTGTTTTAACTTACATTTCTTCAGTTATGAAATTGAGTGACTTTTAATAAATTCTTTGTTCAGTACTTGAATATCTGGATGAATAGTACTGTCCAAAAGAGAAGAAGAGTTCCTTATACTTAAGTTCTGTTATAACAAGTTGTTTTCTTTTAAGATTAATAATAATATTAGATCTTTCACATGACATACACCTATATCAAGAGCCAGATATGTCCTATGAGCTTTATAACTCATTTAATTCAGCTTCTTCTTAGAGTTATAAAACTGGCTTAAATCAGATTTCAATCAAAAAACACTTTGAAATTTAGTGCTTTATAATTATGTTTGCTTAATTACAGCAGTACATTTTATTATGCAAATAAAACATAATTTAATGTGACCTTTCTTAGGACTTTAAGTCTAGTCAGGAAATGACTTCTGCTTATTACAGAGAGAATCATGTTTATATTTTCAAGTGAAAGAATTCCATTTTCTATGGAAGGATTTGGAGAAGTGACTTCATTTTGGATGGTAATGCTCTGTGGGTATATGCATGACAGTGAATCAGAATTTGTACTGGACAGTCATGGTACACTTTGTCCTTTCCTACTAGTACATTTGTAATACATGTACCCCAAAGGATTACATACTGTTTATTAATACATTGTATGTCATTTCCTCACTTCACTTGGCTAGTGTTTGAAATGGTAATCTAATCTGAAACATTTTTTTGTGGTCTATGAAACCATTTTTTTCCCCCACTGTGTTCTAAGGTCCAGTGATTCAGTATTACCTGATAAAGAGGATTCTTTATTCATCTTCATGTATTTCCTTTCCCATGCACATCCAATTAGAGTCAGCCTGTGAAAATTCATAAAACAAGCCATTCACATGTTAATATATTTTAAAAAGGGGTATCTAAAATACTGTATGAGCTACTTGCTGCTTTATAGTCTCCTGAACTTAGCTGGAGATCTAGATAACCATGAAACTCTGGCAACTATTTTTAAGATTCAGTATTCATTCGAATCTACCAGGCAAAATAGCCATAGGAACCCTTTCCTATTGTTAACGTTTCATAAGCACCAACCCAGGGAAAAAAGATAAAACATTAATTCTTGCATGTTATACAGGTAGTTAACCTATTTTATTTTGTCACTTAACTTCTGTACTTTTTACAGTAAAATTATAAATTATAACTCATATAACTTAAAAATGGTTACAACTATAATAGTTGTTTATAAGTAAATGATAAATATCTTGCATTTCTTATTTGTTTCAATGCTTGATCTTCAACCTGAAAATTTTTAGTATCTATTTCAAAACCAACATTTATATTCATTAGTAAATTTAGCAAATATTTATTGAGTATTTATTATGTATCTGGTATTATTCTCAGAACTGGGAATACAGTTTTGAATAAAATGAAAACTCCTGTCTTTACATTCTGGACAGACAATGAACAATGAGGATCATAAATAAATTTATTATATATTAAAGTCTGATAAGAGCAATGGAGGGAAAAAGTAGAACGAAGTGCAGAGGATATAGAAGGGGGAAGGCAGAAGTGAGGAAGTTGGAGCTTTTGATTTTAAATAGGATGATGTCTTAGTGTGCTTAGTCTAGCATATAGGCTGTGTGGCTTAAACAGAAATTTTGCTCACAGTCCTGGATGCTAGAAGTCTAAGAACCAAGTTCCAGTAAGTTTGTTCTGTGGTGAGGGCTCTCTTCCTGGCTGGCAGAAGCTCTCCTTCTTGCTGTGTTCTCATAGGACCTTTCCTCAGTACATGTGCACAGAGGGAGAGAGCTAGCTTTCTGGTGTCTCTTGTTATAAGAACACTAAGTCTATTGGATTGGGGCCCAGCCCTTACGACCTCATTTAATGTTAGTTACTTCCTAATTCCAAATACAGTCACACTGAGAGGCTAGGGCGTCAACATAAGAATTTTGGAGGGACACGTATATTTGGTCCGTTTGGGCTTCATTGAGAGGGTGATATTTGAGCAAACCCTTGAAGGTTATGAAGTGGCTACTCAGATAAATACACAAGAGAAATACCTTTCCAAGCACAGGGAAAAGCTTGTGAAAATGCTCCATGACCTAGTATGTTCCAAGAGCAACAGGGAGGCCAGTCTGGCTCCAGCAGAGAGAGGAAGGTGGAAATTGAAGGGGAAGTCAGAGAGATAACATGGAGTCAGAGAGTTAATGAGGGACCAGATCACAGAGGCCATTGGAAGGTCTTCGGCTTTTCCCTGTGAGAGATGAGGAGGATTTTAAGTAGAAAGGTAGTATTTTAAAAAGGACAAGGGTGACTACAAGAAGACTTGTTAGATGTCTATACAATAATTCATGCAAAGCAGGTTGGTGGCCTGGCTCAGGATCCTGGCAGCAGAGGGGATGAAAAATGAATACAGCATACACAAAGTTTTGAATAGTATAATGAACCCCCAAATACTTACTAATTAAGTGTAATAATTTTTAACATTGTGTTACATTTGTTTTATTTATGTATGTGTTCTTTTATTTCTGAAGTATTTTAAAGTAAATCACACAAAGCATTATATTCCACTATTTAGTATGTTTCTCTAGTAAGAACATTTCTATTGTCACAGATAAAATTAATGATAAATCCTTAATATTATATAATACTCTATACATTTTCAAATCATCTTCTGGTTTTTTTTCTTCATAGTATGTCTGAAACAGGACCCCAATAAGAGGTTCATATATTATTTTTATTGTTGTGTCTCTTACTGTCTTTTATTCTTCCCCTTTTTTCCCCCTATGTCATAGATTCATTAGGGCAAACACATGAGTTGTTCTATAGGAGGTCCCATCTGAATCTGTTTGATTGCTTTCTCTTGGTGTGATTTAATTTTTTTCCTCCTTCTTCTACTTCTTATAAATTAGAAATAAGATCTAAAGGTTGGAATATTCATTTTCAGCAAGGATATTTTGCAGGTGTTGCTGCCTAGATTAAAACACCTCTCATCAGGAGGCATATAACATCTGGTTGTCACATTTCAATGATGTTAAAATTGATCAGTGAGTTTTAGTTGTCATAACAGCATGAGCCTTCATTGGAAAGTTGGTTTTTTCCCCCCTTGTTATTACTAGCAAATAATCTGTAGGATGATAGTCTAGTGTCCTGTTGATATCCGATTCCCTATCAAACTTCCTCTTAATCATTGAGGATAGATTTATGATTGTTACCTAAATCAATTATTTTATTAGGAGTGAAAAACTAATTTCTAATTGTATTATTCCTTCCACACTTATTAAATGGAACTCTCCTCTAAAGAAGTGCTTTATTGCCTTGAGTAAGACTATTTTTTTAATTCATAAAATACAGTTCATATGAGAAAGCTAGGAAAAAAATGCTTAATTTTTTCCCTTTAATTACAGATTTTTAAAATAAGAAAATGGCAGTCTGGCTATAACCAGTGCTTACAAATTAAAAGTTTGTATATTTTTTATATCTCTTTCATTGAATAATACTAGAAGTTGTGGATTTTTATATATTGAGTATATTTCCACCAATTTCAGTTTTTATTCATCATAAAATTTAAGTTGTTCCCTCTTTGACCAGTAGGAACTTCTGCAAGATGATCCTTTCTTCTTTCCATACCATTAGCCTCTGATAGCTTCTTAGCTCTCTGGCTCCTCTAGATGTCCCAAATTCCTTTTGTTTTCTAATCACACTTTGGAATTACTATCTCTCCTAGTTTCCCTAGTTTCTTTTAAAGAAAAATATGTGTATCTTGAAGATAGAGGCAACAAGATTTCCTAGGAGATTGTGGATGTGTTCTCTGAGAGAAAGAGAGTCAAATATTACTGCAGAGTTTTTGGACTGAGCAACTAGATCAATGAAGTTGTCATTAACTAAGAGGTAGAAAGATGCAGTTGAATGGAAGGAATTATAGGAGTTCAGCTTTGGGTATGATTTTGAAATTTTAATTACAGTTCTAAATAAAGATATTTAGTAGGCAAGTGGATGTTCACGTCTGGAGTTCGATAGATAGCAATTAAGCAGTCATCATCCTAAAGATGAAAATTAACACCACGAGACTGCATGGGCTCACTAAGGTGGATAGCAAGAAGAAGAGATCCAAGGGCTGAGCCCCGATTTACAAGATCTAGGAGAAGGAGGAGAACAAACATGTATGTCCACTTTCTTAGCATTCTTGAGAAACATTCCAAGAAAATATTTTTCTGTGTTTTGAGACCCAAATAGTATTTCATCATAATAATCAATAATAATGTTCTATGTCCTCTTCAGGTGAAGGACTTTCTGCAAGAACTGTAGAAATTATTCTCTCAGTCACTTTGTGTATTCTTTCGATCATTCTTCTTGGGACAGCTATTTTTGCATTTGCAAGGTAAGATTCATTTATGCCCACTTTCCTAAGATGCTTTATGGGCATTATTCAGTTATTGTCCAATCAGGAGACAGAAGCCACAGTAATAGTCACTTGAATGGGGAGTATTTAATTAAAAAATTGCTAGCTAGTAGAAATAGTTAACAACTATAAGGGGTTAAAGAACTCTAAAGGGTCCAGAAGTAGCAAGTACAACAAAAGAGCTGCTCTCTCAAGGCTGAGGAAGAATGGACAATAAAGGAACTAAGAACCGGAAGAAGTCTCACTCCAGAAGTTTGACATGGAATGTCTACCACAGGCATATGCAGCCGGTCACCTATCAGCAGGTAAAGAAGATGACAGAGGGAAGGGGCTGGAGCTGTTCTGTAGAAGTTAATCATCATTAATCGAGGAAAGGCAGGCTGGAATTGGTCTGTAGAAACAGCCCATCTTGCTGAATAGTGTGGGGGTGCTGAGCTACTGGAATCGTTTACCAATGGGAAGAGCATCCACTTTGGAGGCAGCTAGCACTCATCCAGGTGGGCTGCTGGGCTTCCACATGAATAATAATCCCGCAGCACTGGAACACACCAGGGAAGTATCTCCCTGGCCCTCTGGCCTTGAAGGTCCCTGTGGTACCCTCTATTGACAAAGCTGAGCATCCCAGCAGCCGGCAAAGGGGAAGTATAGAGTCTAGCTCCAATATCACAGAGCAGGGCAAAGAAGAGCGGGTTTGTTTTTAATTTTATTATGTTACGTTAATCACCATACATTACATCATTAGTTTTTGATGTAGTGTTCCATGATTCATTGTTTGTGTATAACACCCAGTGCTCCACGCAGAACGTGCCCTCTTTAATACCCAACACCAGGCTAACCCATCCCCCCACCCCCTCCCCTCTAGAACCCTCAGTTTGTTTTTCAGAGTCTATCATTTCTCATGGTTCGTCTCCCCCTCCAATTCCCCCCCTTCATTCTTCCCCTCCTGCTATCTTCTTCTTCTTCTTCTTTTTTTTAAACATATATTGTATTATTTGTTTCAGAGGTACAAATCTGTGATTCAACAGTCTTGTACAATTCACAGCGCTCACCATAGCACATACACTCCCCAATGAGCAGGTTTAAAACTGAGAGATAATAAAGTGATAACAAAAAAGCAGAAGGTTTTCTGCGATTTCTTCACTTTAAAAAATAATTTAAAACTCTGATAGGTTTAATGAAAAATATTTTAATCAGGTCTAAATCTTAAAGTTTATACAGAAGAGATCATTTTTACAATCAGGACAACACTTTGAAGATGTCCAACTTCCTTACATGGTGGGCCCCTTCTTCCTGTTTACTTTACCAACAAGTCTGTACTTCATTTTCCAAGGGTCCCTTTAAATTCCCAGTATCAGCCTCCTAATTCCCTTCCTATTTACAGGGCCTCAGGGGAAATCTTAGCTGTGGTTCTAAAATCTGGCTTCATAGAGTAGATTTCTGAGTTAAAGGGACCTTATATTTGCAAAGGTAACCATGACACTAATTTCCTAAGTAGCTCGGTAAGCTGTTTTTATTTTATCTGAAGAAGGTGGTCCTGTATTCTGTATGCCATGCATCATCTCTTTCACCTTGAATCTCTTAAATCATCATTTTGATGGATAATATGAAGAGCTGTTGAAACAAATATTTTTCTTATGCTGCATACTGTTCTCAGATTCCGCCTGGAGATAGTGAGAGAAAGTCATTATTCTAGGCACTTTTAGGGATAGGTTGTGTAAGATATCTTCCTTGTCCCTGAAGGGCATGCTTTGGCCATATTCATATTGTTCCTTGCTCTAAAATCTTTTCTGACTTTTCATCTCCTTACAGGATGAACTCCTTATGTGGGCAAGAAATTCTCCCCTCTTATTCCCTACAACCTCCTGACACACTTCTCTTTGGCCAAATGGGTCTCTTCTCACCTGAACGTTCCTTAGGCTTTTCTACAACTCTGCTTTTATACAGTCAGTCAGAAATGTGCTTCCTCCTCCTTCTCGTTCTGGAACCCTCAAATCAGATCTCACTTTTTTTACTTCCTGTCGATACTAGTAGTTGTCCTATGGATTGGAATTTGGATTTTTTTTCTTTTTATTGCTTTTTCTACATTTAGATCTTGCTTCTCAACTAAACTGTAATGTTCTTGGATAGGAACCATATTTTATGCTTTCTTTTCCATCCTTAACACATAATTCATATTACATAATAAATGTTTGAAATGTAAAAGATAGAATAGCTAATATCACTTTGTAATTACCATACTATGTCATAGAAAAATAAGCATGTAAATGGCTTAAAAATGAAAGGACTTGGATTTGATTCTCAGATTCATGTGATTTTTATTTTTGAACTTGAGTTTTCTGAATATAAATAAAGATAACATTATATGCTGTACAATATTTTTATAAAAAGCCTATGAGACAATTCAAAACATATTTCTATACATTTTCATGAATGTAGAAATGTCTCATGTATATAAAACGATGGAACATTGTCTTTTACCATTGGTGCTGATAACAATGAGCTGGTTCCACTTCGGCATACTTTCTCTTTATGACAAATCTAGAGACAGCTATCGGGAGGAAAAACAAGCTCACAGCTTCAATTTCATTTGCCTGATAGTTTAAATTTGCCAGTGGCCCAGGCCTTGATCAACTGATTCTCATTAAAATTTGAAACTTTGACAAAGCAACATCTTAAAGGAATATAGTTAGAATTAGGTTTTATGGAATTAAAACAGGAAAAAGAAGTTGAGTACCTATAAATTTGCACCATATTCAGAGATGTGACCCCAACTTTGATTGGGGTCTGATATCTTTACTTAAAAAGAAAAGGAAACTTAATTTTATATGCTTTCTATGGTATTTCCTTTTTGGACTTTACTACACTTATTTTAGAATTCGACAGAAGCAGAAAGAAGGTGGCACGTACTCTCCTCGAGACGCAGAAATTATTGACACTAAATTCAAGCTGGATCAGCTCATCACTGTGGCAGACCTGGAACTGAAGGACGAGAGATTAACGCGGTGAGCACACTCCTCTTGGCGATCAGTGGTTCAGAGGGCCTGGAGCCATGACCCTATTCTGACCTATGCTTGTTGGAAGTGTTTGTGGGGCTCCTATTTACACAGGTCATAGAGATCTTCTTTCAAAGAGTGACCTCCATCTTCTGCACACTTCTCACTGGTGCTCGGAGAATCACTTAATCTTCCTCATGCTTTGGGTTCAATATGAACCTTGGACTATAACGTTCAACCAAGCTCTTTTTTTTTTTTCCTGAGACAAATATTTTTACACATTAAACTGTTAAAATCATGTTTAATAATTCACTTCATATGATAGATTTCTTTTACATTGGATTTTCTGGAAGTGTCCATATTTTTAATCACAAGTTTAATTAAATTTGTAACGACTTGATATTGTATATATCATTTTTATAAAAGCCTCATAGCTCCTTATTTTAGTATGAAATTACATTAAAAATCTAACTTGTGTATTAACACTTTATTTTTTAATTGCTTAGTATTTAAAAATTAAATACAAAGTAAAAAATTACCTTTGGGAAGAAAAGCATGTCATCAGTATGTATTGGAAATAGTAAAGGTGCTTAATTTTAAAGAGTAAGTATTTTAAGTCCTTTTGAAATCATTATAAATCATTCAAAATGTTGACACATTTGAAAAACTTGTCTATTAAGATAATTCATCAAATTCTTAATAAAAACTGTCATCAGGCCATCATAACAAGTTTAGATTCTTATAAGATCCAATATTTTGTGATGCTTATAAGCACATGACAGTTTTTACAAAGCACATGAACAACTCTGCTAGGCTTTAAAAAATTATTATTAACTCTGGAAATATGCCATGAAATTTCTTGAACTTAAAAAGGAATTGTTTATAGTTGTCATTTAGCAAAACTGGTCTTTACCTAATACATTGACTTTGAAAGAATATTTCCAGCATGCCTAAAAATATCAAATATATGTTACAGAGGGAAGTGTCATCTGATAAGCAGGGGCCTTCCAAATACTGCAAAATGAAAGTCATTCAGTGTTATCACTAAATTACAAGGAAATTTGTTCTGTTAAAGAGGTAAACTTACTTCTTTATATTTAGATATTTACCTTTGTTTATATTCTAATAGAGGTTGTTTCTATGGATACAACAAAATGGATAGTACTCCAAAGACCATATGGAAGAAGGTTATCTATTATCCAGGACATAGTTTTCCACATTAGAAATGTTATGTATGAAAGGGCAATAGATTTGCAGGGTAACCTGCCAAAGTTAACCACATCTTAGGAACAATAGAGCATTCCAATATTAGGCTATGTCTTGGTTCTTAAAAGGGTCATCCTGCGTAGTAATAGGAAGTTTCTTCTCCTTTCCCCCTGCAGGCCAACTGAATTTCTGTAGTATTCTCCCAACTCCCTTTTTCAATGTTTGTACCACCTCCACAGGCTTGGAGTTTCAGTGTCTTCTAACACCCCAAAGTACAAGAGACTACACATCAAATCTCTCAGTGCAATTAATTTTAGTTGTTTGAACAATTTAGTTGAATCTGTTCATACTAAAATGTTCTGAGTGTCCAAACACTTATAGGGGCAGTTTTTTAAAAAGAATCTTTATTAATCTCCCAAAAGTCCTTAGTAAGTAGATCTTTAGGAGAGAGATATGACATAACAAAGTGAAAAAAGCCAGTCAGTATTAAAGTGCTCTTTATCAAGGAGGTTATCATTCTAGGCAGGCTGTGCTGAGGTTAGATTCCCTAAGCTCTGTGTGTTTTCACAGCTTGCCCTTTCCTGCACTTCTGAACACAGCCATTATCTAAAAGCTGGAAGATTTTTTTTTAACAATGACTGTCATGGCAGCTAATGGAAAAGGTGGATAAGGACTGCATAGATTGTTTATTATTGGTTTTTTATAAATCAGGGACTGCCTTATTTAATCTTGATTCCTAATTATTTCTTTTCCTGCTTCCATGTTTATTTATGTATATGTGGATTTATTTGTAAAATGATGTAGAAGTGTCTTTCAAGTATATTTTGAATAACATTTATTTTTGCACATAGGTCATAAGTATATATTACCCCCAATAATAGTAAAGTTGGAAATTTTAGTTTCTATGATTTTTATTTTCTCACTTTTTGATATGATTCCAGCATTCATGACTGTGAAACATCCTTATTTGTAATTTCAGTGGCACATAATAATATGCTTTGCTTGATTATTACAGAAATTTATTAAAATAACTATCAAGTGGTTTGAGTACTAACTCTTCATTACAGAGATCTGTCTCCAGATTTACTATTTATTGAAGGTTTTTCATGTGAATAAGGTCAGTAATACAGTAGAAAATTAAGTCTAGAAGAAATGGTAACTAATAGATCCATAATTAGTCATGCGCACATATACAAGGGGCCATCCTTCAGTGAAGCTCTCAAGCCCTTCACTTGTCTTGAGGTGCTGGAATATCTAAATCTATTAAAAGGCATATAGGTCAGGAGAGTAGAACCAGAGACTGATAGTAGATTCTGAGAGTAAAGAATCAGGGAGTTTGAGTTAGTTTTTAAATTGTTGAATAACTTACATCATATGTCTTTGTTATTTGCAGGAAAGAACTTAGGTGATTTCCTTTAAATCTACCCAGCTAATATATGCTCTTTCTACCTGAGGCTTAGGCATGTTCTTTTCCTTCCAACCTGCCCACTTTCTTCATGCATATTGGACTAGCAGTTTTCCTCAGTGTTGTATGTCTTGACATGTCCATAAGAGAAATGATAAAAGAAGAAGATTTAATCAATAATTAAAATATTAATTTTAGGGAGTTATCTAGTTAACAAAAGTTATTATGATGCTTGTACTAAATCCTGTCAAGGACTTGGAATTTTATAGTTAAGAAATTATTCGTTTTATGACATGTGCCTGTATATTTATTTACATGTTGATTCATCCTGTAAATTTTGTGTGTGTAAACTCTTATTATTTAATTATATTTTACCTTGTTTCACAAAGGATCTAAAGAAGAATTCTCTCACATTGTAATTTTTCTTCCTGAAGAACAAAACTCAAATGAAGATTTAGTACTCTGGAAAAAAAAAAAAATTGAGTAGTCTGTGACTCCATGAGAACATTCAGGATAGGCCAAGATAATGTTTTCATTTCCTATTTGGAATGATAATTATACCATTTCCTTATGCACATTTTATATTCAAGTTTAGACAATGCACGATATATTTCTTAGGAAGGCTATTTAACATTTTGGGCTCATCTCTTCCACATTTACCAGATTAGAAAATGACCCTTGGGGTTTGTTATTTGATAAACAAATGAACAAAACAACATTTTGTGATGGCTCCTTTGAAACACAACCACTTAGCCCAAGGAAGTGAGAAAGGTTTCCAGGAGGAAATATTGGCAACATTAGCAAACACTCAGGTAAAACAGACCTGTTTCTTCAAGATTGCTGAGGCCAGCTGGCCCTATGGATTGCTTTAACTAATTTAACTGCAACACAAACTACCTTCCCAAGAGAGTTGTAACACCTAAAATTAAATAACCTAACAGAAGGTTCACAAGTTAAATATTCTATTTGCTAAAATGTTTATTTTTCACTGTCTCCTTACCAGGCTTAATTAAGTTATAGTAGGTTCCCCATCTCCAATCTCCCCCACCCCGCACCCCACCCAGGGTGACTAAATCAGAAAAAAAAGAACAACAACACACAGTAGAATAACATTAATCAATGTTACTAATCTTCTTACTCGACACTCAATTTCTTCCAAGCCTCAATTATCCCCCCAAATTTTGTGCATCATTCCATATTAATTCTCTTGCCTATTTTAGTTGAGTGAATGTAATGGTGCCTTAATTAGACTCAAGGCCCAATCCAGTAATCATGAATGGAATTAAAATCCTCCAGAAAGCAAACAATTGAATTGTTTTCTTTCTTCAATAACTTTAGAAGTGTGCAAGTTGAATTTTCATTAAATGTACATGTCTTCAGGAAGCTCTTGTAAACTTTAAATCAGAATACTACATTTGGAATTATTATTGTTATTTACAATCTTTATAAAATTAAAAAATCACCCCAATCTACTTTCACATAGAGGGCTTCCTAATATAAATAATTGCTACTGTTTTTGAGCAATTACTGTGTGTTAACTGTGTGTGTAATGAACTCACTTAACTCTTTCAATCCTTTTGTGGTAGATATTTTTATCCCCATTTTACAGTTGAAAAACAAAAGATGCTTAGAGAATTTAAGTAACTGTCCAAGGTGGTACATCTAGTAAACAGGACAGCCATGATGCTAGCCTGCGTGCGTTGGATTCAGAGATAAGATACACCTGTACCTCTGTGTGTGTGTGTGTGTGTGTGTGTGTGTGTGTGTGTGTAACTCAGAAGCTTACTAGATAAGATCAATATAACCCCTCTTAAAAAGACAAGACCCTATGGGATCCTTCTTGAAGCAGCTTTTCCTATGCAGAGAAATGATTCTAAAGGAAGAACTGCTTTTTTTGATTCTTTGTTCTTTAGTGATATGGGACAAAGGAGTGATGGCATTTTAGTATAAGTTCAAACTTCAGAAACTGAAAAATCTTTAGTAGTGCAAGTCTTATTGTACCTTCAATAAGAAAACATGATATTTGACTGATACATGAAATTCTATGTAAAATCATTAGCATTTTAATTGCCATCAATTCTTTGACAGGTTCTAGCCATGGATTTTACTTCTCTCTTAAACCATTTTGCAAACAATGGCAAAAATCCATGAATCCAGATAAGAAATGTCTGACAAATATGTGAATTCCAGACAAGTGTCCTAAAGTAGGATGAAGCTCAAGATATTTAATGCTCATGTTCTTGTAGTAGCAAAAAATAATCCAGTGTGTTTGTGTACTAAATAAATAATGAATCTTTACTTCCAGATATTCTTCATTTTTCTTTAGACGCAAGGAGATTTTTGTCATCCAGTAAGTTACAGTGGTGATGCGGAGCTCTGTTGTGATGGTTTTCATCTT